GATGGTAGCGGACCGCCGAGTAAGGTATCCAAGTCTGGGACAAGTTTACCAGGAACAGGAGGCAATTTGGATGGTATGGTTAGAGGAGGTAGTGGGGAAGGCGGAGCTACAGCTATATTACGTCCAATTGGACTTCATGTTGAGAAGTTTCAACAAACATACCGAAAGAAATGGAGATTCCTAACTTCAGCAAATGCCAACGTCATCTTGGCCGAGGCAGCCAGCGGCGAAAGACCAGCAAGATGGGCGCTAACGACAGGAATGGCATCAATTCCATGGGAATACTTATTCTTCTATATGAGTCCAGCAGAATATAACAGAATGAAGAACTATCCTGGTACGTTTGCTAAGTCCGCTTCAGTACGTATTAGGACGTGGAACACAAGAGTTGCATTCCAAACTGGAGATACTCAAACGGCTAATGCTACACTGAATCAAAACAAATTTCTGCAAGTTGCTAAGGGTATTAGAAGTATTCCTTTTATATGTTCTACAAACAGAAAGTATACATATTCTGATACTGAACCCATGCAACCTACGGGATTCGCAACATTGACATCCTACCAATATCGAGATGGTCTCAAGATTGCTATGTATGGTTACGATAATGACAGTGCAGACTTTGCTAAGAAACCACCAGCAGATGCAACTGGCGCAGAGATATATCTACAGGACTATTTAACCATTTACACTAATGATGCAAGGGCTACTACTGGTACTAAGATATTGGCGGGGTTTCCACCATACAAAAACTTTATAGAAGAATTCGATGCAAGTGCATGTATAACACAGATGTAGTTGCTATGGATTACGATTTTAGCTACGCACCTCTGGTACCACAGTTTGCACCAGTACCAAACAACTTGATTACTCAAAATTATAATGGTAGTTATCCTGCGGGAACAAAGAATGAAGTGACGGCAGCGAAAACAACCGATTCCTCACAAGCTACAGCACCAACACAAGTACGTAATGCACCTCGCAAATATATACAGGGTCCCCATGCAGATACAACATTCTTGATGAGGAACAGAACTATCTTCGAGTCCCTATTGAACAAGGTGGTATATTCGAGGAGGTAAATGTTGAGACAGTACATGACACTCAAATGCCATCTATAAATGTTGGCATAAGAGCTGTTCCCAAGTTAACTACCATTGATGAAACTACTCAAGCTAATTCCTGGCTAGACGCACAAGGCTACTTCGAAGTTGATTGTGTACTAACAACAGAGAGTGTCGACCCTTACACATACATTAAGGGCGGATGTTACTCGGCCAATACCAAATCTCAACTTCAATATTTTGCAAGTGATGGTCGTCCTATTGCTAAAGTATATGATAATCCTAATGTATATGGCAGGATGCAAATGATTAAAACTGTAAAACCATAATTATGAATTGTATATTTCATATAATAAATTCATTACAGAATCAGGTCGTGGTTTTTTTATTACCTCTTTTAAGAAAGGAGCAGCATTCCAATAATATGTAATAACTCTGTCAGCAAATGCTTCATGATTAGCAAATCTGGGTACAACATTACTCATACATATTACTGGAGTACGCTTTACATTAGCTTGAGGTTTACACTTAACATTAGCAGACAAGTTATCCCCTCCAAATAACATCTTCAAATTCTCCGTTTCCCTAGGTTCGTAGTTTGGTTCATTCCAAATAAGAAGTCGTCTATTGTGACAATCCTGATACGCGAAGGTATTATATTTATTAGGGTTCTGCATTTGTCCAACATTAATATAGTAATCTTTAATAGCATCGCATAGAAAGTTCTTGCCAGCACTTGGAGGGCTAACAATTAGAAAGCAATTACACTTGGGAATATTCATGTCTGTTACATTAATCAAATCCGTTACAAACTGTTTCTTAGCTAACCCACATTGATAATCAAGCAGTTTATTAATAATATCTCTAGATTCATTATCAGTTAAATAATATAACTCCACCGAGTCAATATTACGTGCACTCCAAATTTTAACAGTGTTTGGGTCCTCATAAAACTTAACATAATCCTCTCTATTCCAAGTATTAATAATAGCAGCATGGCAATCTATAGCGTTCTTTACATCCCTATCATCTAACCTTTTAACTGCAAGGGGATTTTCCAAGTACTCGCGAGTATATACTATCTCAGATAATGGACAAACAGCATACCTCTTAATTAAATCAAGAATTACTCCTGTGTCCCCTCTGATTCCTCCATCTCCTCCTGCGTTGCCAACACCTCTTCTTTTGCGACTTCGAGTACCTCCATCACCTTTCGGTTCAATTCCTCGTTTTCGTTCATCGTTATTGTCAAGCGGGTCGTGGCAGTTCTCCAGGCCTGAGTGTGATCCTCCTTCAACTTGGCCTGATAGGATAATGTCGGATAGATTTGTAATTTCAAGAGGAAGTCTTTGTATGGCACCGTTGATTTTAGCGAACGTTGCTCGTCTCCCTTTCGTACAAAAATACTTTGTGATATTTTCCCAATCGCTTCGCTTGAACGTTTCGATGGGTGGAGGCTTTCGAAGAAGTCGTCTAGCGTCCTCTTGCGCTTCGGGGAACGCTTTGAAGTAGCACCTGCACGCCCTGTTTGCGTAGGCGCAGCTGTGGATGGTGTGGATATGGGCACCGCCATCTTGATCGCTGTGAATAGATATGAGGATAAGTCCTCTTCGGAAATTTCCCGCTCGTTCAGCCATTCGCTTAGCCAATCCCTGAGCTCGTCCAATTGATTCGCAGGCAAAGACATCTGACACATAGTATCCGCTGTCTTGCCAATCTTCTTTTTCAAGGCGGGTAACGAACCGGTCGACCATTGTTTGTAATTCTTGCTCCAACGCCCTATTAGCTGTAACATCGCATTCTTGCATTGTTGGTCCAGTGGTATCGTATCCATAATCTTCCACCATACTCCCGGATGATTCGCCCACTCGTCCGGAAGCATCTCCCAGAGTACTGTCAAAATATTCCCAAAAGTGGTCGTCATTATTCATCTGTAATGAAACAACAATTCTATAACACTTGCTTTATTCATTAATAAATTTATACAAAGTGGGGTTTATACGAATCCCTTGCATAACAGTATGTTTACAATAATCAATATCACTGTCCTCAGAGCTTGAGTCACTCCATGTACGTCTTCTCTTCAAATGATAGTCATAATCAAACAAACAATCATCATCATCAAGTATATGGATCCATAATGGCTCAACAATACATAAACTGCACCAGTTGTCTTCATCCCATATCAAATCCTCTAACAATCTGTCCCCATCAATCATGGAGTGATTCTCTACGCGTTTAAATACCCATCCTTTTTCCAACCATTCATTAGCAGATCCTGGACGGTAGAAACGACTCTTCCCGGAATAACACGGTTCACAAATTTTCTTTTCTCGCCCTTGTTCATACCACAAATAGAAGTCCCAAATGATATGATTCCTTTCATGTGCAAATGGCGGTACTTCATCTGGTAATCTCATCAAGTACACAAATGTGGTCGGACCAAAGGGCTTCAATGCCTCCCATCCCCTTTCCATACGTGCCACTATTCGTTCCACATCGTCATCACTCTCAGGAATTTTCTCGTCACATCTTAACCAATCTAGTAGTAGTTCCCTCTGGATAGTCTTCGGTAGTACCTTCGTCTCGTTCCAATTATTCTTGTACACCTCTCTTACCTTCTTCTTAGTAATGTCATACAAGCTCTGAGGGTGATATATCTTCTTATGTTTAAACCTACTTACCAAACCAAAGTATTACTGCACTGCACGAAATACAACAACAGAATGAGCTACTTACATGTTGAACACTATTTATACACTTCACTTTATCTCCCTTACTTGGTGCTTGCCCATAAGCCCCTGGCTTATCACTGACGACTGCGACGACGACCAGATCTATTTATACCCAATGGTGACCTTGGAAACCATGGTATACCGTAAATAGAAAATTTACATGGTAACCGGTTTCCAAGGTC